GAAATTTGTAAAGATTTGAGTTCTTTAGTGGCTTCATGTGCAAGATTTAACTCCTCGCTACATAATAGTGTGTATAGCTCGTCCAAGGTGATCGGGCGGAGGTTAGTGCAGATGGCGGTCTTGAAAGCTTGATAATTTTGTGGAAGGCCGTTGAGCGTGTAATATATAACGTATTTGGCTTCGATGGGAGTGCCGGCCGCTGCGAGGGCGTCGATCTTGGCTCTAACTTCAAGAAGGTACTGCGTCATTGATTTGTCTTTCATGGACAAATAATGCAGCTCATTTTTTAGCTGAATAATTCTTAACCATGTGGAGGATTGAAGACGACGGTCGATTGTTGTTCATATATGGGTGTAGTGATCTACCGAAAGAACGTAAGGCAAGATTGTTGACGATATGATGAAGTAGAGTGCTGCAGCGAGGTTTTGATCCAAAAAAATCCAGTTAGTGTAGGTCGGATTTGGGAGGGTTTGACAGTCGTCGGTTTGCAGCGACAAGGATATTGTGGAGCCGTCCAAGAAGCCTTCAAACCCATTGCCTCGAAATAATTTCAGCAATTGAGATCGTCATAACCGATGGTTATCCGCCGTGAGAGGTTGAGAGATGACTTTCTTGAGATTGTTCATCAAGAACTTTAGAGAGGCGGGAATTTGGGGGGGAGCAGGTGTTGTGGGAGGAATGGTGAAGGTTGTCCGCCTGTGTTGTGGAAGACATTGACATAAGGATGCAAGGAAAGGAAAGAGGCTGTTAGAACAGGATCAAGACCTCTGATACCATGTAGAGGCGCACGGTAAGAACTATATCAGTGGAGAAGGAAAGTTTCATTTTGCAGAGAGGAGAACGGTAACAGGAAAACAGAGAAGTTAGAATTCATTTCATAAAAGCAGTATTACACTTCTACATTTTATATAGAAAAATAGAGACTAAACTTGTAGGGACTTTTGGGTATGTTTCTCTTGAATATGTTGTGACTGGCTGCGTGACCATCAAATCCGTCGTCGATCCTATCATCTACTTCGCTGATGACCAAGAAACCGTTGCAAGCATAACCACGATCGCCGCGAGCCACCAGCTTCGAACATGGGTCATGTCGTCAATCTCCTCTCCACTTTCTCCGAGATCTGGAAACCGTCAAATCTGCATCGATTAGGACATGATTTTGCATCAGTTTCATGTAGTTAGGAGTCTTGGGGGGCAAATTATTCGGTCAGGTGACCGGACGCGGAGAATAAGTTTGGACAGCCAATAAAAATTTGCCGCGTCACCTGCGCTTTAGTTGCGCTTTACCTGCGCTTTTTACTGCTTTTTGACTTGCGCTTTAGTTGCGCTTTACCTGCGCTTTACTTGCGCTTTACCTGCACTTTACTTGCGCTTTACCTGCGCTTAATTTAAAATATTATTTTATTAACATCCGAACTTATCTCTCCATTCGGTCACCTGACCCAATAATTTGCCATCTTGGGGAGGTTAAGACTTCGTTTGGGACGGCTTTCAAGACAACTTTCTAGTATACAGTTTTAAATTTTTGTACTTAAAAGTTGCTTTAAGAAGCGGTAAGAAAGCTGTCCCAAATAAAACCTAAGTTGTCCCATAGTAGCCTGTGTTCTGCTTTGGAGACAGCTAGCACGGTTTATGAGAAGCTCGTTTTTGAAGCATGGCTCAAGTATGAGGAAAAAAAAAAAGAGAAAACCCCCCATCTCTTCTCTCCTTGATTCATGCAGGAAATGCTCCCAAGAATGTAGTATCCTGGATGTTGCTTCTGAAATCCCTATTCAGGCTTCAGAGATAATGGATAACAGTTTATCAGGTGAACTAGAGAAATCAAGCATTGTATTCTTCCAAGTTAGAGAAGACTATATATCATGTGATCAGCAGAAGCTCGCTAATTTGTCCCATCCACTCCAAATCAGGCTTGATGGGTGCTTTACTGAGTAGATTCAAGAATACATAGATTTGTCTGAGAGCAGGATGCAGAACGTCATCCAGAAACTAACTAAAATGCACCACATCAGCAGTAACGAGCCGCAGTACCGAGCGAATGGGTGACGTGGTGCATTCTGATTAGTTTCCGGACGGCGTTCCACATCCGCGATGAATAATTAATCCATCAATAGGTATGAGAGCAATAAGTGATTTCAGTCTCTTTGGAAGTTTAAATGATTCATTATCTGTGGATATTTCAGTGAAGATTTTGGTGTTTACAAATACATTATGTTGTGGGAGGCTCATAGTAGCATGTGATAGAAAGTTAGCATCCTTAGTTTCTTCAAAGCTAGAGGATGTTGAACTTATGGAATGTGCACTGAAAGAAAATTCTCCGGTTCTTTCTGCTTCTTGTCTACAGTTTTTCCTCCGAAATCTTTCTGATTTTCTGCAAGATTTCTCAATTAATGAAAGTCATGGTGGGCTGGTAGATATGGGATTGGAGATATTTGAGTCGATGAATGAGAGATTTGTTTTTCAGACTTTTATTGTTACCCAATAAGTTGATTTTCTTCGCCATACTAATCTTATTTTGGTTGTGCATAATGTTATGATTGTTCAGTCTGGAAAGTGCAACCAAATACTAAATGTTGGTTTTGGAACTGGTTGCACGTTGAATGATATTCTAAAATCCAAGTCTCAAGGAGGATATGCAAATTCTCGAAGATGTAAAATCTTGGACGCATGATGATTGTTTATGTTTTCTACATCTACTTTCTTATGGATGTCGTGCTGGGCGGACCCACCTTATCCCTATGGGGGGCAATTGCGCCCTCGGAAACCCCCACAGAGGCACTGCCCCTTGACCAGTGACCTGACCGTGCAGGTTGAACCCCGCCAGGGGTGTTGCCCCCTTGGACCCCCAACATATCTACAAAACGTACAATGATCAAGGATATGAACAAATAGGGGTCAAGCCGACTTCAAGGCAAAAAAAAAAATCTCTACACTTTTTACCCCCCCTGAAAAAATTAAGGCAGGATCTGCCCTGATATCGTGCCTCGATAGAGTCTAGCTCTTCTGACGCCATACGAGTATGACATGGAACATCTTAGTTAAAGTTCTCATTAAGAATAATTTATCTAGTTGTTACAAGAATGTCTAGAATATTCTATCACTAGTTTACATATGCTAGTATTATAGCAGCAAAGGACAATGAATATGATGATATTTTGAGCCTTGAGATTCGTTTGTTCCCTGCTGAACGACTAAGCCGGAGAGAAAAAAATTATTGATTAATTTATAGATTATTTGATTAAAGTAAAATTTAGTTATGTATAATTAAGTTAAAGTAATTTATATCTTAATTTAGCCGGGATATTACTTAAGTAATATAAATTATTAAATTTAAATAATTGTAGTAATAATTTTGTTAGATTAATATGTAGATAATTACATTAATTTGAAACTAATTTATGGAAAATTTTATTGATTATTTTAAAATAAGTAGTTTAACAATATTGATGCAGTAATTAGAAATGGAATAAAATAGAAAATTTAATATATTTTATTATAAAATAGAAACAAGAGAGAGAGAGAAGATGGGGGAGGGAATAGGGAGAGAGAGATTTAAATAATAATTTTATATTTAAAATAATATTTAATTAATATTTAAATAATATTGCATAAAATAATATTTAAAAAGTATTATAAAGAAAAATTAAAAAATTATAAATAATATTTAAAAGTTAAAACGTATAAGTATAATATTAAAATTTTTATTCTAATTAAGCACCACTTGCTAGATCACCACCTGATCGTCACCACCGTATAAGTTTCCCAACCACCATTATCTAACTACAATTCCTAAGCACTCATTAAAGTTTGGGCTCCCAACCCCATTAACAATCATCTAATCAATGTTGTCTGGCTATAGTCCTTCAAACAGTGCCGCCAGATTACAATTGTCCGCGATTAAGATTATAATCACTCAACCATGTCACACGATTAAGATTTGCCCAACTACGATCACTTGATTATTATCGCTAGACCTCTGTCATGCGACTATGATCTTACAACCATTATCTACTAATTACGATCCTCTAACAACCTTTATCTGATTATGATCATTTATTTCTATTACTAATGTAATTTAATCTATAATAAAGTTAATAACATTTATCTAACTAAAATTATTATTATTATTATATCTATATATTTGACATGAGCACGTCAAAAAATTTTAATTTCGATTGACCATAATAAATTTTGGGTAGAGTTTGATTATGAAAGCTTTACTCTAGAAAATTCAAGTTAGGTTCAAATTTATTTACCAACCCAATATTGATGCAAATCAATACAATTATTATTTGAATTCCATTAAAATAGATTTTGTTTAGATTAAACGAAATCCAACATTATTATATCAATCTTTGAAAAAGAAATACAAATTAAAAGAAATGCAGTGTAAATTAAATGTAGTACAAAAGAAATATTTTAAAGTTGTTTGAATGAGTGTAAAATAAATGCAATAGATTATTATTTTTGTTTAATTTGAAGTAAATGAGGGCAATATAAAGTGGGAAGATGATGATGTTAGTGGTAGTTAGTGGCGGTGGGTGGTGGCGATTGGCAGTGGGCGATGTTAGCGGTGGTAGCCAGTCTTGGGGGCGGCGATTGTGATAGCAAGTGGTGGGTGGTGGTTGACATTAGTTGTGGTCGGTGATCAGTGGTTGCTGATTGTAGACTACAACCAACTGGTGGCAGCGATGGTGGCCATTGGTGATGACGATGATGGCGGCGGTTGACAGCATGCGATTGCATAGATGATAAATTTATGGAGTATTTAGGAATAGTCCAAATTCGAGGAATACTAAATATCACAAAATTGAGCTAGAGATATAATTTCAAATATATTAAAATTTTATATTACAAAATATCAATATTATTAAAATCTCAACAATTAAAATATTTTACACCTATTTCACTTAAAACCAACCCGCCTCTAAATATTTTCGAGTACAAAAATACCCAAATAAGTTTGCCAATCCGAATCGATAACCTATATATAGGTCAGGTTAATTAATCTAAAAAACTTTCCGACAATTTTCTTGGTTAACCACGAGAGAATATCAATGTCGTTCCTCCCCGATGAGATCTGGAGCAAGATCCTGGAAATGGGGGCGGCAGCTAACCGCTTAAGCTACCGCGATCTCTGCTCGCTGGCCATAACCTGCCGCCGCCATAACCGCCTCTCCAGCGACCCTTCTATCTGGTCTATCCTTCTAGCCCTAGATTTTCCCCAACCAATTTCCTCCTCCTCATCCCTGCCGGTACCTTCTAAATCCCTCTACAGAACCAGGTGTGACTATTTTTAATCCTTCAATTTTTCTCTATCTCGTTATTTTGCATTCCTTATAAGAGAATGAGGTAGCTACCGAGGTTTAGGTTTGAGAGGGATAAGGCGCGAAGGATTGCTGCGTCGAGACGTGCCATTCTAATTGCAGAGAGCCAGGTATCTGTTTGCAAGGGAAGGCTGAAGGAGTTGGAGTGCCAGTTGCGGAAGGAGGGTGAGAGGATGAAGGGGGCATTAGAAGAACTAAGCAACTTGGAGAGGATCAGGTGCTTATCTAACTTTGATAGTTTTTGTTTTTTAAATTATTGAGGAGAGTTCTTTCTTCTTCTTTTTAAAATTTTAGATCAGCGTGCCTTCAATATTTAACGATTTTGTGTTGTTCAGAAACTTCCTATCTGTTCGTGTGGGCATTTGATAGTCTCTTCCCGTGTTAGATGTTATTTTATATGGTTGTTAAAAACTCGGCACAGATGCAACTTAGAAATTCGATGATTGATATACGATTATAAACTTGAAGACTGTTTGACTCTTAGCCATTTGCCCTCCATCATTTGTTATCGTGATGTTGTGTGAATTATTTGAGTTATAAATTTATAATTACTCATGCTGTATAAACACTTTTGTGTTGTGTATTTGAGTATTTCTAACTCAAATGCATCTCATATTATGTTTCATGATCAATAAGAACTGATAGATTAAGATTCTGACTGCATGTTCTGTTTACTAATTATCTGAAGTTGCTTAACTTACAAATTTACATATGGAGTATTTTTTAATTTTTTTTTTAATTTTCATGGTGTATTTAATTGAGGTATGAAATTTCTTTTTCTTGCGAGCAGGAGGTGTTGAAATTTATTCTAGAAAACTTTAAACTTTTTTTTTGTAGAATAACATTTGAAAAGCTGAGAGTTTATTCTGCATATTGTATTTACTCTTATATTACTTATTCATGCCAACAAAAACTTGGTATGCATTATCACCTTTTTCTTATTTCCTTGTCTATAACTTATTAGATTTGTTTCATATTGATTTATAGACATCTGTGTGAATTTATTCTAGCTTCTTGATCTTAAGTTCTCTTTAGTTTTTCAGAAACTAAAGGAGAACTTTAAATTCTTGATTTATATTGGGACGGCCCCTGGACATTTGTGTAGCTTATTGATTTTAAGTACTCTTTTAGTTTTTCAGAAACTGATCTTTCTTAACTTTCCTAAAATTCAATATTCACAAAAGTTTTATTTAATAAATTTTAAATCTAAAAATTTATCTTTAGAATGAAGGATCTTTAGGTCCTTCTCACTCATGTGGCATATTCTTTGATGTCAAATATTAGTTTATGTAATTGAACATGTTGTAACTCGAACTATTATTGTACTTGTGGCGGTGTAGAGTGTGTTGCTATTATTTTTTCGGACAATCAACATGGCTCCTTTGGTCAACTTCCAGGTTTTAGCATTGAATGTTGCATTACATTCTTCTATTGCAAGTTTTCCTATAGAAATTAGGTTTCTCCTAGGGCCAAGAATATGTCTTATCATTTTCAGCTTTCATTTAACTTCATATATGCTTTGGAGTATCACATCATCGATGCCCATAATATTGAAGGGCTCATCATTCACAAGAACTACTTTTCATAATTTATTGCTATGTAATTTCTATTAATTCCTTATGAGAAGAAGATTGAAAAAATGCACCTAAGTCTAATATTTTTAGCTCCATTAACCAAAAGCTCTGATATTACTTGTTTGGATAGTGATAAAATTTTGATGAAAATCAGATGAAGATGAAGAATGAACACATCAAACATCACAATCACAATATATACTCATTTCAGTTTATGTGGTTTAGTGATATTAACCAACTTCCACTGTCACACAGAGATCAAATGTTCTACTAAATTTTAAAAGATGGAGTACATAAGAATTTTTTTTGATATATAAGAAGATATGAACATAAATATGATTTTCTCTACATCAATGACTGAGAGAGAATGCAATTACTTGTCATGAAAATGAGGTTTGAATATGGAGAAGAAGACGTTGTTGTTGCTATTATCATCTTCCCTTCTCAAATGCAAGTGTTGCTTCCTCTTTTCTCTTCTCTTTTGTAATAGCTTCTCCTTACTATGGCTAAAAGCTTAAGCCCGTCTCTTTCACTCTCTGTTTCCCTCTTCTTCTTATTTTCTTAATGCTTCGATACAATAAAATTTTTATTCGCAGATAGTGGTAGGTATCTATTAGGCCGGTCCAACCTGGACCGGCCCAGCCAGTCCGGGTCTTCTCCAGGCGGAAGCAGTACACACGGGCGGAAGAACAGGGAGGCGTGGGGGTGGGTCCACTAGCAATTCAAACAAAATTGGAGTAATTTTGGAGGGAGAATGAAGGGTAGAGATGTCCTTTTGCTTTTGTTTTGAATTAGATTGTATTAAGAGGGAATTAACCTAGGTTTTAGTTTTCATCTGGATTATTGCTTGTGTGCTTGAGATTTGCTACGGGGGGAGGTCGTGGGGCTCTAGATTTTCATCTAGAGAGCGTTGGGAGAGTGGATCCTCCTCTCGAATCGAGGATCATTGTATCGTTTGTTTTTCTTGCAATTTACATAAATTTCCCTCAAATTTCTCTCAGCTTTCTTCACGTTTGTTCGTTGTTTTTGTGTTTGGTGGCTGTTTTCCCATAGAAAACAGTGGATTACTTGTGATTTGGCTTAGATCCGATAGGAATCACTTGAAATATTCAAGTGGTACCTATCAGTATCATTATGTCGATATTAGGTAGAGAATGGTAGGTAATGAATTTATAGGAATTAGATAAAGAGTGATAGATAAAAACTTATATGAATTAAGTAAAGACAAATTTATCTTTATATCTTAACGTGTAAATATTGTTAAATTTTAGTGGTGAAAACTTTTTGATGATATTACTTGCATTTACTTGAGTAATCTCGCTCAATTACTTGCATTTACCTGAGTAACCACCATTTATGCGTACAACACCATGCAATTGTTGCCTCTTGCGATTGCAATTTGTGAATCAGTCGCTCTATTCACCTCGAACGCATCATAATATGACATTACTTTTGATTTTTCACGTAGGCTTCATTTATTTCACTGTTTATTCTAGATGAAGTGGTCAGCATCAACTTGGTTTTCATGCATCCTAAAAAATTTATAAACTTCTTTGTTTAGTATCATGACATCGATACAATTAAAGAGATGAAATTGCTCAAGATGCTTAGTTTATATCTGTAGGATACATGACAAATAAAAAAGTACACAATTGGAGTTTCAAAATTATTGATGCTCTTATCACTTTTTTTTTTTGACATTTTTCTTCAAGATCATAAACTTCTAAGTAGGCAAAATCATTTTTATTGTAATTTAGATCTAGCTGGGGATGATTGAAAAAAATATTGCTCAAAGCTTCTTGACGATGAAGTTGAGGATGCATTCGCTTATGTCTATAAATCTTATGAGATATGCAAATCGTTGTTTTGGATCTCATTGAGCTTCAAATCATGTACGAAGTTATGTGGAGTTGAAAAAGCCATTATATTTATTAGAGAGAAAACTAAACGCTCTTCTCCTGTTTTTGTATTTCTATGTAGTTCCTAATGCTCTCACCGCACTGGAAATTAAGTTTATGATTTTCTTAATTGTTTCATTTAAATTAGTGTTTTTGAATTTATTTTAATTACAATAATTATCCCTTTGGATAATATTATGTTCTAATTTATATCATTATTATAAGATTATTTTTATTTTATTTAATCCTATTTCTTTAAATAGAGATAACTTGTTTTCTTTTGGATTAATTGATTGATGAATGTACAAATTATAATTGGTGAGTAGATAACTGTTCTGATCATGGTTTATTTACTTAAGTAGAAGTTACAAAATACATTTTTCCCCATTTGCTAGAATAATTTGGATGTCTTTAAATGTTCATATTTCACCAGGCGAGCCTCTGTTGCTTTAAATGTCTGGCAGCCAGAATTAGTTCGTGGAAGCCAAAGGCAGATGGTGGAGCAATGCACTGTTCCTATCGAGTCTCGCCTCAGCAACCTTAAGATGGAAGTTAATCTTTGTAAACATCAGATTTCGATTTTCAAGAATGCTTATGTACGACTCCTTACTTTATGCTTTGCATTATTGGCAAATATTGTACTTCTATTCTCCCAGGTCGCTAATTTTGAGGACTTTTGGCAGAACGAGCAGAAGCAAAGACTCCAGAAAAGTAAAGAAGCCTTGTCCTCTCAGCAATATAACCCTCTTGAAGCTTATCATTCAAATGTATCTCGAACAGATTCTGGCACTAAGAGGAAGAAGTTGACATAGTAAGTCCATCTCCCTCTCCCTCTTCTATGTTGTCAATTAAAATAAAATTTTAATATTTTAAATGAAATGATTAGCGTATGCTTAAATGCTGCTCAAGTTTCTTATTTGATGATTTATATTTGTATTGTTGAATGTATTTATCTATAAATTATTGAGGGTTTAGTAATTTTGTATTCATTTAAAGTAATCTGAGGTTGAATGTCTCAGGTCATCTTTTTAAGTTGAGCTAGAAGTTACCAGTTTGTCATGTTTAATAATATGCATGAATCCAAGAATATGGGGATGCAACATTAGAAGTTTAGGATATTGAGAGAAAATAGTCACCAATAATGCAGAAGTTGGCTGAATTTCAGAGAAATTCAGCCAAAACAGAATATAATTTTTAAAAAATTGTAGGAAATCTGAGAGAAAAATATTTGAAATCCTCTAATAGAAGAAGAAAACAGCACAAGATACACGGATCTTCAATTCGAGAGAAAGAACTAACACTCCAAATCTCTAGCCAAAGACTAGAGCCCAAGCACCACACAAGAGATTCCGAATTCAGATTCAAATTCAAAATCCCCTTAACCCTAGAAACACAAGACTAATTAAAGCAAAAGGACAAAAGTTTAATCCCTAAGCAGCCCATAATTTGAAATTTCCCTCCAATACAATGCTTAATTAAAGTGTTGGTCACATCTCCTTAGCCGTCCCTCTCTCCCCTTGGTTCCGTCCCCCTTTGGCCCTCCTCCTGTAGACCAGAACCGGTCCACTAGGGACCGGTTCAGCAGGTTCAGCCGGCCCACCTTGGGCCGGCCTATCAGATATCACCTCTGCTTGCTTCATTCATCGCTTTTTTAGGTATGACAGTAATTAAAAAAAAAAAAAGGAATGATAACAATTGATGCACTCATATGAACTTTAAAATAATAAGAGTGTATTTTCTACAACTTAAATGTGGAGATTTAGGTTTCGTTTGTCTTTTTGGTGCAACCCAGATTGACTATTTAAAAAATGGAATGAGCATCTCATCACTTATAAAAATGGATGTAGTGCAACCCAGATTGACTATTTTCTTATTAGAAAATTAAACCGTTTAGATTGCAAAGATTGTAAAGTTATTCCGAGTGAAAGTTTATGTACCCAACATCGATTATTAGTTTTGGACTTTAAGATAAAGGGGCATAAAATAATAAATAAAGTAAAATATTTTTCGAGGATTAGATGGGGGCATTTAAAGAATATTAATCAAAATATTTTTGTGAGTAAGATTTTAGATCTTAAGATTTTGTCTGTGCATGAGGATGCTAATGTTATGTGGGAAAAAGTGGCTAGTGATATTAAGAATATTGCAAAAGATGTGCTTGGAGTATCTAAGGGAAAAGCCCCTAATAGTAAAAATAGTTGGTGGTGGAATCCAATTGTGCAAGAAAAGATTAAAAATAAGAAGATTTGTTATAAAAATTGGTTTAATTTTAAAAATTCTGATAATTGGGAATTATATAAAGTGGCTCGTAAGGATTCTAAGAAAGCAATATGCGATGCAAAGACATTAGCTTTTAGCGATTTATATAATAGATTAAATACTAAGGAGGGAGAAAGATATATGTATAAGTTAGCCAAACAAAGAGATAGGAGTAGTAAGGATTTAGTTCAAGTGAAGTGTATTAAGGATGAAGATCAAAAAATACTTTTCTTAGAAGATGATATTCAACAAAGGTGGATGAGATATTTTGCTAAACTTTTTAATGAAGAGTGTGAAAATAAGATTGACTATAGTGACCTTAGCACCCTAAATGAAAGTAAAGATTTCTGTTTTTATCGGCGTATTAGTAAAACTGAAGTTAGAGAGGCTTTAAAGAAAATGAAGGGTGGAAAAGCTGTTGGACCTGATGATATTCCAATAGAGGTGTGGAAATGCTTAGGAGATGAAGGGATTTCTTGGCTTACTAAACTTTTTAATACTATTTTGAAGACTAAAAAGATGCCAAAGGCCTGCAATGCTTTATGGTGCCGAATGTTGGCCATTAAAAGAGAAGCATAATACTAAGTTAAGTGTGGCAGAGATGAGGATGCTTAGATGGATGAGTGGCTTTACCCTTAGAGATAGGATACGAAATGAGCATATACGTGAAAAGGTTGGAGTAGCTCCAGTAGAAGATAAGATTAGAGAGAGTCGCCTTAGATGGTTTGGTCACATAAAAAGGCGGCCTTCCGACGACCCGGTTAGGAGAGTAGAGGTATTAGATTTGACTTGTGTTAAGAAAGGTAGGGGTAAACCTAAAAAGACTTGGTTAGAAAATATTAGGAATGACCTTTCTTTATTAGATTTAAACGAGAATTTGGCTTTTAATAGGACACAATGGAGAAAAAGGATTCATGTAGCCGACCCCACGTAGTGGGATAAAGGCTTGATGTTGTTGTTGTTGTTGTTGTCTTTTTGGTGCTTTTGTAAAAGACAGTTTTAAAAAACATTAGTTTAAAAAATGTAGTTTTCTAACGGAGAAGCATATATAAAAAACTTTTTCAAAACTGCACAAAAATGAAAAAAAAAAAAAGAGTTATTGAGAACGTGATTTGACGAACCCAAAAAAAAAAAAATCCTCCGTTTCCAAACGGAAAAGGCAAAAAAAAGGCTCAAACAAACAAAGCCTTACATGCTAAGTTAAAATGGAGAAAGGATGTAAAAGCTAACGTGAAGAGTTTATTTCACTAGATTTAGTCCAGGCCTCAATTTGATGGCCTTTGTCATCCACTATAGTGCTGACTATCTACGATTTCTACTAAACTTTTGAACAAAAAGTTGGTCAACTATATATTTATTCGTGGTCAAATGCCTACATGAACAACTATCACTTCATTGGATAAATCTTGGCTTACAAGTTTTGGATGATGGAAGCATGGGATAATGATTAGGTTTGCCTTTATCGTTACCATTATCCCTTAGTTTTGAGCTTAAAATAATTGAGCGTATACTTAGTCTAAGATTTTCTTCCTATATATTGAATAAAAAAGTTTTAAATGGTAGCTTAACTTTGGGCTTGGTTGCCCTTTTAGTAGCTCACGAACTTGGGGTGGCTTTGTCGTAGAAGACTTTTGTGAAACCCCGTTAGCAAAGTGAAATTAAATTCTTAAACATTAAGATACTATTTGGCATAAAGATTGGAATTTTATGAAAAACTCTGAAGTTAAATGTGCTCGTACAAGAACACTACTAGTACGGGTGATTTCTTAGGTAGTTACACCAACGAGATAAAATCATTAGGCCAAAATAATAATACCTCGTTGTTTAGGAGCTTAGATTATTACAACTTTTCTCTCATCTTTAGTGATCAAAAGGTTCTCATCATATGCTACAAGAGTGGGCAACTTCTCTCACAAATTTTAAGGCGGTGTTTTTATTTAGCCAAAGTTCTTTGATTGCCTACAACATAATATATATTTATGGACTCTTCCCCTCTAAATTAGTAGATATGGTTAGCATAAGATCAACTTTAAATCATGTTTGAATTAAATAAAAAATAAAATAAAAAAAAGATTATTCTAGTCATTAGTGGAGCTATAGTGAGGACTCTGTTCATAAGATCTAATAATAAAAGATTAGCCCAAAAACAAATATTAATTTAATTAAACATTAAAACCTCTACCTAGTTCTATGTTAATTTTTTTTTTTCCCACGTAAATATAATCTCTACTCATTCAAACCCTCTCTTTCTCTCTGCTAGAGCCCACGAGTTTATCTACTCTCTTCTCTCTGCTGCTCTCTTCTCTCTCCTCTCTCACTTTTATGATGATGTATACATAATATATTGTAAAAATTAAGATTTTTTTTCCGAGTATAAGTTTTGAAAGTGATTCAATAAATTAGAGTTAATATACGTTATATAGCATTAATCTTCGATTCAAATAACTTGAGAAATTCATATTATGATTTCCAATTTATTATTATTTTTATTATATTTTAATATAAAAAAAAATCGTGTTTTTGATAGGATGAATTTCCGCATATGTAAATGGAAATAATTATAAAAGAGAAATTGGATATTAACATTTGGAGTTCTCATTATGATTCGTTTATAAGCTTTAATTATTTTGTTTAGTCTATTATTTGAAGTTCTTGAAAGATTGGACGTAAACAGCAGACGAAAAC